TACACATATCCAATGTGTGAATGTACCAATGTTGAATTGCAGTACACATATCCAATGTGTGAATGTACCAATGTTGAATTGCAGTACACATATCCAATGTGTGAATGTACCAATGTCTTTCTCTATTAGAAATGATTATGATATCCAAAGAAACCCCTAGCCTGTACTTTAAAATATGTTGCTTCTCTTGTATTATTTGAAATTGGATGTGGTAGGATATTTCAATGTGACATATATTCTGCCTTCTGTAGTTAAATATGTACTTGTATATTCAAGTTAACAGCATTAATAACTATACATTTTTTGAAGTCATTTGTGTAATTAATGATTTTTTTTTCTTGCAGGTTGTTACAAGCTGTTCTCTGCCATATGACCAGTCTTTATGTTCTGTTTTCATAAGTCTTTTAACAAGAAAGGGGATAAGTCTGTCTTTTATGGTAAGATATGTTAAAACAGTTTGTGTTCTATAAGAGCTGAAAATATAGTTTTACTAAATGGGAAATGTTTGTATTAATTTGTAGCTTGTGTAATAAAGACCAGATTTCTACCTGTTAAAGAAAATGAAAGGAACACATACACTTTGATATGGCTTTATAAAGTCAATCTTAATTTAAACAAGCCTTTAATTGTATGGCATGTATTTTTTTTTTCCAAAAAACTTATATTAAAATGCTATATAATTATGTATATAAAGATTTGATAGGAAACTTAAGAATAATATATTATTAAGCTGTTCTTCAGAGGGTTGAGTACACTATATTAAAGATGACTTTGGAGCCTCACCACATAGTTACAATCTGTGTTTCCATATCTGGTCATACTCTACTTAACAACCATGCATCTTGACAATGGTCTTGCAGCTCTGCCACTAGACTGTCATGTCTGAAGCACGCCACTCTTTCTTGCATGGTTTCTATAGTGCATGTATCAGCATTCCAATCACCTTTATCTGTATGTCTTCATATGGAATAGCACAACTGTCTTTTTTTATTATTATTATTCGTTTATTTTTCCTGATAAATTTTTGTTTGTTATGTATTCAGTCACATGGATGGCTTTTGCCACTGACCTTTGTGTTCGTGGATTCTGACCTGTTACAAGACATCACATTTTGATTACAATGGCCTGGGTACAATTTGGATGGCCTCGTATCCTAAGTTTATCTGTAATCCTTTGTTGTCCAGTGCCATTACATAAAAGGGTTATCCCTGTCTAGAAAATTCTAAATCCTCAATCTGAACATGTTTGTATGATCTAAGAGAGTGCATGAATGTTTTGCTTCAGAAAGGGTTGTTACATATGCTTCTCAAAAGCTATCAATATTGGGGGTATCACACTATTTACAAAATGCCAAACTGTCATGCTGATGCATGCCATTCCACTGCGACTTTATATCAGCTGTGATTTTCAGGGAACTCGCTGATTTGATTATACAAAATCATTTTAATATAACATACTCAACTCTATTATGCTAGAAGATATAGTAATAATGTAGAGTAAAATTTTTGAATTATAAGCATGAAGTTTATTATATCTAGTTTAGAAAATAAAATAATCAGAAACATTAACAACTTCAAAATCGAAACTTTTGATGTTATGTGTCCAGAAATATGAGTAAACTTCAGTGTATGCTCTAAACTTTGAAATTATATTTACCTTTCAAAGAAATGTACAAGGAAATTTAATGAATTGTTAGATGCTTGTTAGTGTTAGATTTGTTGATAAACAAAATAATAAAAATCTGTTGATGAACTTATAATTCGACATCAATAATAATTCTTTATTTATCAGTAGCAAACTTGTTTATTAGAAAAAGGAATTTTATTTTCATGCATTTAATAAATTAAAAATTCATTTTATTTTATTAATTATCATTTCAAATTCTTATAACATCCAGTTGTTATGTTGTTTAGTGATAAAATGAAATAATCTTAAGTTTTCAAGATGTTTTGTATTGTTCTGTAGGGACATGTTTTGGACCTTTTGGCATTTTTTCTGAAAAATAATGACACAAACAAGGAAGTTCTAATACGGTAAGTTTTTAACTGTTTAAATATTTAGTGGAAATAATTATTTTTATTTTATTCCAAAGTTCAAAGTTTCTTTAATTGTTTTCGTACAAATCATAGTTATTTCAGTATTTGTGTTTTAACATCTGAAGTGTGATTTTGGTAATTATATCTGTATTTACGTCGACCTTCTTCTGTAATACTTATAGCATAAAAGATAATAAGAACAATTGCTTATCAGAATGTTTTAATTGATCAAAAGAAAATTAAAAATCTCTTAATGTTAGTGTTTTGTTGCATAGAATGGACACAAAATTGTCAAGTTAGATCAGATGTTAAACTGATATTCGCTGTATGTACACTGTATTAAAAGTACTATTTTAATATATATATATATATATCTATTAAAAGATGATATTGTAATACTTTATATAATACTTTTTGTAAAAACCTAATACAAAAACACATCAAATTCAGTGTTTGTGAATGAAAATTTTATAAGCACCTTTTCTAAAATACAAAGTAGTCTACGTGTGTTAATTTACGTGTGTTCCTTTAATTGTTAAATTAATTCTTTTACAAGTTATTCATAAAACCTCCTAGCCAATTTTATGTTTTGTAAAATTATAACTAGTATCTTCAAGATATATAAGTATAACAATCTTCTTGCTAAAAGGATCATTACTTTTTATTGTTTCATAGGAATGCTTTGGATGAGCTCTCTGCTAATACTTTTCCTCTACAAAGTACAGAGTTTGTTGTTGGCAGTCTTCGGTACAACAGTTATGTTACAGTCTTCAGAAAGGTTTGTGTTTTCCCTCAACAAAGTGCTACAATCATTAAAAAGATTTTTTTCCCACTCTACAAAGTGCATTATAGCAGTTATGTTACATTTTTTAGACAGGTTAGCTTTTATAGTTTACATTTTTGTGAAATCACAGAAAGGTCTTTTGTTTAAATGCCTATTTTTTAAATATCTAGTTATTTTCAGTACAATCTATCCATAGCTCAGTATTAATCTTTCTTTGAATAAATAGCACATAATATAAAATCATCTTTTTAAAATATGTGTATTTCAGATAATCACTTATATTATGATTGTGTTTTCAAGTACTAAAATGATACAAAAAATGGTACAAAAATAATCTTGAAACCTTCCCTGAGTATAAGTCCATTAGCCTTTTTTAGGCATTTGAAAGCTTTTACAATCAATAGTCATTATGCTTCCTGTTTTATGTTACATAAAAGAACTAAACCTTTTTGTGTTAAAATATGTATTAAATACATAATCAAAGCACCTTTTTTTTGTTCTTTTAACTGTATGTTAAGAAAATATGGTTTCCAGTTTAGCAGAAATTTGCATAGAAATTGGAACAAATTGTTAAAGACTTAACTTGTTATATTTTGCTGGAAGAAAAAATATTTGTAAACAAATTCTGCTACAATTACAGTCGTTGTCTTTATTTTATTTTTTAAAGCTTACTTTATGATTTTTTACTTCTTTTGAATTATGATATTGGAAAAGTGTTGTTTTTTGTGAAACAAGATCAGACTGAGAATTGTTAGGGTTAGTTAGGTTATTTTCTCTGAAAAGGCTGCTGTTTGTTAGGCCTTATAGGCCTAAGTAACTGCTTGTATAGGCAAATAAGATAACCAAAAAGAAATGTAGAAAACATATATATATTAATGGATATAAAACAGGTTTAAACTTATTAGATGGCATCTTCTGGTCAACATTTAAAAAGGTTGGCTTGCATATGATTTTGCCACAGTAAAAAAGTTATTTATTTTGTATGTCAGTGATTGTAAATGAAGTGAAACTGCATGTGGTGTTTTTCAAATCAAAACCTGACAGGTTTATAAAATAAAAGCTTTAGAAGAATACATAAAAATCATTAATTGAAATTTAGAACAAAGGTAAGCATTTTTATTTGTTTCTCAAAAGAAGTCTTTTAGAATTTCTGTAGCTGATAATTCATACAAGTATGATATATAAATATATTTTACTTTTACATAATTTGTAGAAAGTTCACATCAAGATACAAATAATTTCATCCAGTAATTGTTTTTAGAGGACAATAAATCAAATCATACGACAGGTGCAAGAAATGTTGAAGTTTCTTCTTCAAATATTATATCCTGAAGCCGTGTGATATTTTTTAAGCCCACTGAGGTGTTGTAGTAATATTCTGTTTATCTAATAAGCTTCAAAATTTTTTTATAGGACAGGAAGAAGTTAAAACATTACTATCAGTTGTTAATAGAGAAGAAAAATACAAATTTACTAAAGCAGAGATTAACAAGTATGATAAAAATGATTGGTCAAAAGGAGGAACTAATTTTTCTGAGAACATAAATATAATATAAATAAACAGTAGGAAATGTTTTAAATGAAAAATTATAGATTGTAAAGTAATTGAGTTAAGATAAGTATTTGAAAGCAAAATAAAAGTTTTTTTTATATATATTTGTATAATAGCTTGAAATCAGAATATTTATTTTACAAAATTTATAAGTGATGATGCTGTGTTGGATCTAAAAAGTTATGTTTGTTTTATCAAAAACTGTAGGGCTGAATTAGGCCCACTGGTTAGTATGACAGGCTGTGAATTCAAGATTTCTTGGTCTGTGCCCTGTTACCACTGAAAAACAAATTGCACTTTGCATTTTGAGGCCATGGGTGTATTATCACAGTGATAGTTTATATCACATTATTTTATTAGAGTAGCCCATGAGTTGGTGTTGACTAGCTGCCTTCCCTGTAGTGTATCATTTCAAAATTAGCGACTGCTAGCGTAGAAAGCCCTTGAGTAGTTTTTCACAAAACTCAACAAAAGAAATTGTGGAAATTCAGATTGGTCTGTATTGAAATGTGGTTTTTTATATTAGTTAAAGTGTCTTCAACAATAATTTGATATGATTGGTAGAAGAAGCAATAAGTATTAACATCAATATTTTTTATTTTCAAGAGTAAAAAACTTCTCTTTATTCTTTTAGATTCATAAAATGGGTGAGTAATTAAGAAAAGAAAACTTTTATAGGAATTGTCAGATATAAAAGACTGTTTAGTGTAGCTAGTATTATTAATTAATTAATTTTGTGTTTGCAATTTATTGATGTCAAGGCTATCAAATGTTGTGTTTGCAATCTGTTGCTGTCGAGGCTATTAAGATTTATAGAAGGCCTAAGTGATAGATGTATAAATAGCTGTGACCAGATGAGCAGAAACAAAGAGAGTAAAAAGTAAAGTCATGGAAAGAGAAATTCATTGAGAGAAAAGTTAGAAAATGCAAAGTTAACCGTTGTAGGAGTGAAAGGCCTAACAGTAGATATGTTAGAGTGAGATTAATAGTTAGAAAGAGATAAGGAGAATAATTTGTCTTGTCAAAGGGTGTTCTAAGCTAATTGAATCCACCTGTGTGGACTTTGACGAAAAGTAGATAATTATTGGAAGTACAGGATACAACTGTGGTAACTCATGTGACAGGATAAGTGAATTATATACGGATACTATTGCAATATATATATAATAGAGAAAAATATTTTGGTTTGTCAACTGAATTTTAAAGCAATTGAATTGACCTAAGTGGACTTTTGACAGGAAGAGAACTGTATAGTGCTTAAGATACAATTATGATCGCCATAGTGTAGAGAATTTTATACATGTATTAACTTATTTCTGATATATATATATTATTTTAAAAGACAAGTGGAGTGCATTCTGTTTATTTATTGTCAAATTTATTGACAACCAGTCACAGGCACCTACTGTAGAAGAATCCTTAGCCCAACACACCTATATTTAACTATATTACTATATATTTCTACTAAAAATTAAGTTTCCTGACAGGAATAAACCAAGTTATAATTTTATTCTGTGAAAAAGCCTTTAGTTGTTTCAGTTTTTTAAGTTTCAACTTTTTTACTGAAAACAACTGTTAATTTAAGCTAAATTCTTATAAGTTTTGATATTGAGTTTTGGAAACTTTTATTTTTGCATGCATTTTATTTTGCTGTCATGAGTTTTCTTAGGTCAAAATCTAGCTATGTATTTTTATTTTTTTCTATTTTCAATCATATAAAAATTGTTAGTTGTGTTGATTTTTAACTATACTGCAATTGTACTGGTTTGTAAGCTGCAACTTTCAGGTTTTCTCTTTTCTAATTTAACTGCTGTATTAATCTCAAAGTACTAGAACTTAATGATGACATATCTTTCAAAATTTGATAGAAATTTTATTCCCATTGAGATTTATTCTTAAGTTGAAAATAAATGTACTATTTTCATTTCCGGACCATGACGTGGCCTAGTGGTTAGTGTGTTTGTACTGAGAATCCAAGGGCTCGTGGTTTACAGCCCATTGCCACAAAAATGCACTCTACATTTTGGAACCATGGTGTGTTATAACAGTGATGGCCAAATCTCATTCTTTGGTCAGATAAAAGTAGCCCAAGAGTAGGTGGTGGGTGCTGTTGATTAGCTGCCTATACTTGAGCTTGTTATCTTAAAATAAGCACATATAACCCTTTTGTGTAGCTTTCCAAAAACATTCTGAAGGATGCAAACAAAGAAACAAACACAAGTACACAAGTTTTGCTATCTTTGCTGTTTGACACTTTGTTTTGTGATTGATCCTAAAATTTCAAATATATCTTAGTTTTATTGAATTTCTAACTTCATTTTGCATACAGTAAACTGAAACCATTTAGAATTATAAATTGTTGGTATTCATGTTTTAAGTACTAATAGCTAAAATATGTGAGTACAGATGAATTGTTTGAGTATATTAGGCTGTTCTGTGTATTACACCTCTCCTATTGTTTAATTCATAATGGCTATTATTAGTTATTAACAAGACCATTTTCTCATTGAAAGTATTTTAATGTCCACTGACAATAAAAGTAAATTTCAGTCTTTATGTTAACTAATTAATTAATTCATAACTATCACCTTGTTCAGTTATAAAATATTATTTTATGAATTTATTCAACTTTTAAGGAGCATGATTTTTTTCTCTCTATAATAATGATTGTGTAATTTTATAGCCAAAAAAAGTTGTATTTACTTCATTGAAATTTAGTTTTATTTATATCTAAACTTCTCAGTTTAACGAAACGCATATTTTTATTATTTTACACTTACAGATATTAACTGCACTAGAACTATGTGGAAGTTTAACTCTTTTAACATTTGTTGTTGGCATTATGTGTCGAGAAGCTTGTCATTTACTGGAGGAGGAAATACAGCGAAGTATCTCCCGCTCTGTATGCAGGTACTGTGTGAAATTAGCCACACTATGTTAAATTACTCTTGTTTATTCACTGTTATGTACGTATGTGTGATATGTATAGGTTTTTGAGGTGTTTTTTAATTCATTGTCTATATTTTATATAATAATGTTTACAAAGTGATGTTCATAAACCAATAACAGTATCATGACTCAAGTTTATAACCAGTTGAACAGTAATTGGTGGATAAATATTATACTGTTTTTATAAGCTGAGACATTTAAAAATCTAGAAAGTGTTTTTGACTATATAAAATGAATTAAATGGAAAGCTGATCAATATTCAATCTGAAATGCATGTTATATAAATGTGTATCTTATTCTGTGATTATGTCAAGTTTACCTTCTAGTTTCCATCCAAAGAATTGTTCACTTGTCAACATTGATTCTTTTCTATCGAAAAAATCCCTCTTGGGAATGATATATATAAAACTTGGGTTTTTTCTTAATGTTTAAGAAATGAGTGAAATATTTCTTTTTTTGTAACTAAGGCTCAAGCCAGAAGAGCAGGTTAATTCTATGGATACACTGTTTGGAATGTTTCTTTGTGAGGATCAACTTCCTGCTGAAATGAAACTTGGAACTATAGAGAGAGTTTGTGTTCCGATTCTCAGATTATTGTCGAAACCTGTTATAACAGATTTCTTTGTCAAGAATATCCGCTCCATTATGGAAATTGTTTCCTCAAAAGTAATCAAGGTTCGTTGGTAAAGATTGGAATATATAGTTTGCATAAAATATGTTCATGAGTTCTTGTTTATCCACTGTTAAAAACTTAAAGAATTTTGTGCGTAAAGTGAACCTAGTTCATAGTTTGCAATTGAATATACACTGATTGATTTAAGTACATGAAATATCAAATTAGTCACAACTTGCGTATTCTTGTTACTAACAAAATAACAAATGTACTCAAAGAAATGCCTGGAAACGAGAAATATATATCTTTTATTTTAAAATAACAGTATCCACTTGACTTATTTGTTAGTACAGTTAGTACAAGGCTCTGTTGTAAGGTATCCCTTTGGTGTACTACAAAATGTCCACGGACAGTACATCAGGTTTTTATTGTAAAGTAACAATATCCATCTTATTTGTTATAGCAATAACTGTAGAATTAACATAGGCGTTATCAAGCATTTAAGGCAAAGAATATACTTCTAACAGAAAACATAGTGTCAGGAATAAAAATCAAGATAAAAGATTTACTCATTTAACATGAAAGAGACGTAGTGCTAAGAATAAAATCAAGGGACCTACTTCGTTAACAGAAAATCACTTTACTGTTAAGGCTGTTTAAAGAAATAGTGCCAGTATTCTACATCATGGTGTATAATTATCTGCATCTAACATAGTACTGTCATTTGTATGTTGTGTATTAACATATGTTGTGCAGATTGAATGTGTATGTGTGAGTCTACAGTTTAATCGCAAGAATCAGAACACACCACCATTATGTAATTTAAATTAAATTACTTGAGAGTGATGTTGTAAATAAGTACAAAATGTAACATTTTGATTTTAAACTGCAAAACTTTAAATAAAATTACTATAAACATTCAGTTCATTTACTTGAACAAAATAACTTCAAGATTTTTAAATTTCATAAGAATTTCTCTTTTTCCAGGGTTCTGAAGAACGAATAAAAGCACAACTGTTAATTAAAATTGGGGCCTTTCAGCTAACGGAAGTGTTGTTCTCCTGTCTCCCGAAAGAGATTATTTCCTCTAAAGAATCCTTAATCAACAAAGCATTTTGTGATGGCAACGTTGACACAGGGAAAGAATTGACAACAGAACTCACTCGGTGAGCTTATCATAAAGTTATCGTTGCTCTTAGTAATTAGCATGTTGAATATAAACTATAGCAACTATGAAGATAGTGAACTTCATTTTATATTTATCTGGCTCAATATATTTTTGTAGTAAAATGATACAAAATATGAATACAACTCGTGATATGAGATACTAAATCTTGTACATCCAAAAAAAAGTGTTTAACACACAAGAACTAAAAACTGAAATATATGATCTTTTTAAAAATAAAAGTAACAAATATTGAGAACTTACTTTGGTGATATGTGGTTTTAACATGTGGTATTCTCTGAACAATGCTTAAGGTCCAATATTTACATCATTTCTCAATCTCTTTATGCAAATGTAGCCAGAATAACTGCTTTTGCATATTTGCAGCTGTGTGTGTATGACACTCTGTGGTGCCCCCCTTCAGTCCTTGAATTATGCAAATTTTGAAGTATTTCCTGTGTTAAAGGTCTGGGGACCATTAACTGAATCACAGCTATACAAGTAGCTATACAAGTAATTGGGGATAATAGAGGAACTTGGTCAGTACATTGAGGCCTCTGTGAATCATGAGAGGAGCCTTTAAGCTCCACAGTGAAATATCAGTATTTTATGCTAATGTTATTTATTCATGTATTTTAGTTTATTGTAATATTTCCAAAAAGTATATTTTATACTGTGTAAAAGTTTTGGTCTGCAAAGTAAAGCCAAGTAATAATTTTTTCTTAAGACAAAGTCATGCAACAAAAAAAGATGATTTGAGAGGTGAAACGACTCTTTATGATATACGGAGACGACTCAGTTGTGCTGCTTACAATGTTATAATTGCTGTGATATCTTGTACCCAGTCTGATCCAAAGTTTTACAACGTTTTTCTGTTTCAAGAAAATTCAGCTAAGGTAAGAAGTTATTAATTATTTAAATTTAATCGTTGAGTTAATATTTAAAAAGCCCCCCCCCCCCAGTGGCTCAATGGTAAGTCTGAAGGCTTATAACACTAAACACCGGGTTTCAATACCTATGGCGGACAAAGTACAGATAGATTATTGCAAGGGTATGTGCTTAACTACAAACAATAAACAATATTTAAAAAAAAAGTTAAAATAAGACACAAAACTTGAGTGCTTTCGATTAGTTAACTATTCTTCTTCAGGAGAACAAAGGGTGACCTTTAGCCTGCACAATGCAATATATAGTTGAATCTGGTGACCAGCCAATCCCAACTCAATCCCAACTTACAAGTTATTATGTAATTAAGTTTGTAAAGTTTTATTATTATTATTATTCACATTTTTATTCATGCTTCTATTTCTCTACATTATTATTATTATTATTTCAGGTATTGATTTACATTATTATTTTCTCTGCTCTCATCTTCCTATGTATTTTATTTTTCTCTATCGGTCAAAAGTTTCATACATAATGAAAATTAATAATCATTTTTTTTTGTTATTTTTCTACAAACGAATTCTCTCTTCCGGGAGACTAACGGCTTGAGTTGTGATTGGCTGGTCACCAGATTCAATTCAACTGAGACTTCGGGTTTACATGACGTCACACATCTTACTATATATTGCATTGTGCAGGCTAAAGGTCCCCCTT